ACACACACACACACACACACACACAATCAATTTAAACACTTTCGCAGAACTGCTTCGACCTAAATAGCACCTTTCCATTATGGCGCTCTCACTAAATAACTCTTCATTACTCATTGGGGTCTGTGAGGTGTTTTGTTTACTGCTTTCATTCAGCAAGGACACATTAAATTGGTCAAAAGTGTCAGTAAAGACATTTAAAATGTTACAAAGGATTTCTGTTTCAAATAAATTTGGGTATTTTGAACTTTCTCTTCATTAAAAAGTGTAAAAAATGTATCATGGTTTCCACAAAAAAAGCACAAAATCACAGGCATAAATTACATTTTAAAATAGAAAACAGTTATTTTAAATTGTAATAATATTTGACATTACTGTTTTACTGAATTTTTGAACATGGTATTTTTCTGCTGTTATTTTCTTTTCCTCATGGACCTTAACAATTTTTTGACCTTGATATTTACTCTTTTTTTATTCTATAAGCATTTAACCTTACGAAACCAGACTATGGCCTATCATAAATTATTGTAATTATATAGTAAATTACCGATGGTTTCTAAAATAGTCTTTAACTACATAATATAGACATGATTTGTAACATTCCAAACAGGTAGCATACATAAAATATGGCATTTCAACAACAACAAAAAATAAAAAATAAAATAAAATAGACAACACTGTCCATCAGAAAGTCAAACTTTTAAATGTATGCCGTTCACATTTGTTCTTGTAATAATAAATATCTACAACTACATCTTGCACAATATTATTTTAGATCACATACAAGTAGGATCCTGTATTGGTTTGAAAAATATGTTGCAAGCATCGAAGCAAGACAACATACCAGAATGATGCTAAAAATACTTCTGGGATGAGAAAGACCACCATGCATATATGTATGAATGGGACAAAAATAAAAATAAATTTGTATGCCCCCATAAACATGCATAAATGCATCAACCTTACTGCAGGAGATATTTCATGAAGCCAGTTATAACTGTGTGGAGATATTTGTATTGTTCAGCCAAAGGTTGAGAAACTAAATGTATTTTTAGAGACCAAATGGAATCAGATATTCACAGTAAGCTGTTCAAAGTGTCCCGTTATATGTTTCTGTTCCAGTGCACTCAGTCCATACAAACTATGCAGGCTTTATAAATCATTTATCAGATAAAGTGCAGGCTGTCCGAAATGTAGGAGAGAGATATGTGCATGATGTCATAAGAGGCCAGAAACCCACAGGCTAACTTCAATCACAATCCACAATCCTCTGCTTCTACTGCAGAAATTATTATAATACTCATAACTGAATTATATTGAAATGAGATCTGCACCCCTGGTTGGCATTTTAAAAATTCAAATAAAAACTAGTCATTTAAAGGAACACTCCATTATTTTTGAGTTAAACAGTTGAGTTTTACCGTTTTCGAATCCATTCAGCCGATCTCCGGGTCTGGCGGTAGCACTTTTAGCTTAGCTTAGCATAGATCATTGAATCTGATTAGACCGTTAGCATCTCGATCAAAAATTACCAAAGAGTTTCTATATTTTTCCTATTTAAAAATGGACTCTTCTGTAGTTCAAGGAACTTTGCTGCCGTACCATGGGTGCAGCAGGCGCACTGATATTACGCAGTGCCTGAAAATAGTCCCCAGCACACTCCCTGTGCAAGCAGGTGGTCACGTTGTTTATGTTGACGGAAATTAGCCTATTTTCAGGCGCTGCGTGATACCATTGCGCCTGCTGCACCCATGGTACGGCAGCAAAGTTCCTTGATTATTACGCTGGATTGAGACTACAGAAGACTACAGAAGTAACTACAGAAGAGTCAAGTTTTAAATAGGAAATATATAGAAACTCTTTGGTCATTTTTGAGCGAGATGCTAACGGTCTAATCAGATTCAATGATCTATGCTAAGCTACAGCTAAAAGTGCTACCGCCAGACCCGGAGATCGGCTGAATGGATTCGAAAACGGTAAAACTCAACTGTTTAACTCTAGGGGAGTTGGAAAATGAGCCTATTTTCAAAAATAGTGGAGTGTTCCTTCAAGTAGAGAAAAAAACCTATTAGAAAAACTATTAACCAAATATAAAGGTGTATAAAATAATATAATATAAAGGTGAATAAAATAATCAGAATTATTATTCAGAAGACAGTCTTCAGAAAGCAGAACGGGAAATAATTAATAATAATAATAATAGTTAATTTAACTTTACTTGTTAACGTAACATGTAAACTTTTTTCTCTCAAATTTTCTGCAGACCCCCAGCACCTCCTTTGAGACACATTCCAGGAACAGTTTACCCAAAAACAAAAAGAATGAGAGTCCAAACAGCTGATTAAAACATCACAATAATCCACAAGTAATCCACACCCCTCCAGTCCATCAATTAACGTCTTGTGGATTATTGTGATGTTTTTATCAGCTGTTTGGACTCTCATTCTGACGGCACCCATTCACTGCAGAAGATCCATTGGTGAGCAAGTGATGCAATATTAGAAACAAACTTATCTACATTTTGGATGGCCTGAGGGTAAGTACATTTTCATTTTGGGGGGGATCTACTGCTTTAATGCATCCCAAAGGATCTTGTATACTATTTAGAACTAATGACATGTGAATTGGAACACAGTCAATATTATCAACAGATTTGTAAAGGAGATACAGTATGGTGTAAATGTGAAAGAACAAAGAATACTAAACACAGAAAAAAAGTGGAGAAATGTATGGCCAGACAGCCTTCATGAACAGGAGAACATCTGTGACCCCCCACACGAGTGTCAGCCTGAATCACATCTCCGGTCGCCGGAGGTTCTGGGAAGGTGATAACCTGAGCATCCCTCCTGTACTTTACTGCACATACAGCTGCTATTGTTTTAGCGTGTCAGTGTGTCCTATTGCACTCACGCAGGTTGTCAGATTACCGCAAAGTCGGTGGTGAATCAACAAGTCCCTCTCATCAGACTGTCATCAGTGTAACACTTTACACACCTCACCTGTAATTACCTCCTGCACACCCTCCACACACACACACACACACACACACACACAGGGTTTGATGGAGTGTGATGACGAGAAATGTGCTGAACAACAAAAACGGAGGAGAAAAACACTAACTAGATTTGTATTGTTCTAATTTTCAGAAGAATATTTTTTAGGCAAAACATTTGGTAAATATTATAAACACTTCCATTCAAAAGTCTGGGGTCTTTATGATTGTTTTCAAATAAATTAATACATTTATTCAGCAAGGATGCATTAAATTGATCAAAAGTGACAGTAAAGATATGTATAATGTTACAAAAGTTTATACTTCAAATAAATTATATAAATTCACTATTATAAATTTAAAAAAATGTACCATGGTTTCTACAATAACTACAGAAGAGTCAAGTTTTAAATAGGAAAAATATCGAAACTCTTTGGTCATTTTTGAGCGAGATGCTAACGGTCTAATCAGATTCAATGATCTATGCTAAGCTACAGCTAAAAGTGCTACCGCCAGACCCGGAGATCGGCTGAATGGATTCGAAAACGGTAAAACTCAACTGTTTAACTCTAGGGGAGTTGGAAAATGAGCCTATTTTCAAAAATAGTGGAGTGTTCCTTCAAGTAGAGAAAAAAACCTATTAGAAAAACTATTAACCAAATATAAAGGTGTATAAAATAATATAATATAAAGGTGAATAAAATAATCAGAATTATTATTCAGAAGACAGTCTTCAGAAAGCAGAACGGGAAATAATTAATAATAATAATAATAGTTAATTTAACTTTACTTGTTAACGTAACATGTAAACTTTTTTCTCTCAAATTTTCTGCAGACCCCCAGCACCTCCTTTGAGACACATTCCAGGAACAGTTTACCCAAAAACAAAAAGAATGAGAGTCCAAACAGCTGATTAAAACATCACAATAATCCACAAGTAATCCACACCCCTCCAGTCCATCAATTAACGTCTTGTGGATTATTGTGATGTTTTTATCAGCTGTTTGGACTCTCATTCTGACGGCACCCATTCACTGCAGAAGATCCATTGGTGAGCAAGTGATGCAATATTAGAAACAAACTTATCTACATTTTGGATGGCCTGAGGGTAAGTACATTTTCATTTTGGGGGGGATCTACTGCTTTAATGCATCCCAAAGGATCTTGTATACTATTTAGAACTAATGACATGTGAATTGGAACACAGTCAATATTATCAACAGATTTGTAAAGGAGATACAGTATGGTGTAAATGTGAAAGAACAAAGAATACTAAACACAGAAAAAAAGTGGAGAAATGTATGGCCAGACAGCCTTCATGAACAGGATCATGAATCACATCTCCGGTCGCCGGAGGTTCTGGGAAGGTGATAACCTGAGCATCCCTCCTGTACTTTACTGCACATACAGCTGCTATTGTTTTAGCGTGTCAGTGTGTCCTATTGCACTCACGCAGGTTGTCAGATTACCGCAAAGTCGGTGGTGAATCAACAAGTCCCTCTCATCAGACTGTCATCAGTGTAACACTTTACACACCTCACCTGTAATTACCTCCTGCACACCCTCCACACACACACACACACACACACACACACAGGGTTTGATGGAGTGTGATGACGAGAAATGTGCTGAACAACAAAAACGGAGGAGAAAAACACTAACTAGATTTGTATTGTTCTAATTTTCAGAAGAATATTTTTTAGGCAAAACATTTGGTAAATATTATAAACACTTCCATTCAAAAGTCTGGGGTCTTTATGATTGTTTTCAAATAAATTAATACATTTATTCAGCAAGGATGCATTAAATTGATCAAAAGTGACAGTAAAGATATGTATAATGTTACAAAAGTTTATACTTCAAATAAATTATATAAATTCACTATTATAAATTTAAAAAAATGTACCATGGTTTCTACAACTGTTTTCAAAAGTGATAATAATAAAAAATGTTTCTGCAGGAAATCAGCATATTAGAATGATTTCTCAAGGATCATGTGACACTGAAGACTGGAGTAATGATGCTGAAAATTCAGCTTTGTGTCACAGAAATAAATTACATTTTAAAATATATTAAAATAATAAAAACATCTATTTTAAATTGTAATAATATTACACAATATTACTGTTTTTTTGATCAAATAAATGCAGATTTTGTGAGCATTTGTGAGATCCCAAACACTTAGATCCCAAATTTCGGAACACTAATATGCTGTATGCATGGATGCACATTAAACAACATGCATTAAGAAAATAAATTGTGTCCATTTTTAGTTTATTTCCATAATACTAAAGCCTCTACAATATTCTGGTGCCTGAGACCTCTTACATTTGGTTGGCTGATTGATTGATGGGTGGATGAACAGAGTTTGCACCACACATATCAGGTGTCCTAAAATCTAAACCTTACTAAAAAAACAAGCTGAAAAAGCTTCGACTGTTTTGGATTCAGACCCAGAAGGAACTGAAGGCAGGGATGAAACCCAAGTCTCCATCTCAGCAGCCCTGAGCAAGAGCGTTTATTCTTATCTGCAGTATCTGACAGATGACTCAAGCAGAGGTCAGTCTGAGCAGCGGTGTAGGTGTTAACAGCAGGGATAAAGCCTCTTCTCTTGAGCTCAGCGCAGAGTTATTTAGCATTGGATGCCTGCATGCAGGTGCAAAATAACCACAACATAAGCCTGCAGGGAACTTGTGTATTCCAGTGACATGTTTGAGCACACGTGCCACAAATTCTGTATGTCGTTCGCAATGCATTTAAAGAGATAGTTCAGCCAAAAATGAAAATCATTCACTCATGCTGTTCCAAACCTGTATGACTTTCTTTGTTCTATGCAGTACAATACAAAACAAGATATTTTCAAAAAGTCACTGGGGTCTAAAATAACACTGGACCATTTTGACTTTCATTGTATGGTCAAAGCAACCCACAGATACATTTTTCTAAATATTTTTGTTTGTGTTCTGCAAAAGAAAGAAAGTAAGACAGGTTTGGAACAAAATAAGTGTGAGAAAGTAATGCCCAAATTTGTATTTTTTTTGGTGAATTATTGTTTTAAGGTGAAGTGAGTGAATTCTAAAAGAATAATAAAAAATAAAATAAAAATAAAACTAGCAAACAAAAAATTATTATTATTAATAACAATATTAATAAATAATAATGAAAATTAATAATAATAATAAATTTTTTATCATGTGATTTTCTAATACCCAAAGCACTACAAACGGTTACAAATAAAATAAATACAAAAAAATTCTGTAGCAATACAAAACAATAAATCAATATTAAACATTACAGTACCGCTAACCAATACAATAAAATACTAATCATCTCAATCTATGTAGGCAATTTTAATTAACAGCTTCTTATAACTGTCTAATGTCTGGTCCAGAATCCATAAACTCTAATCTTGCATCTAATCTATTAAAAAAAAAGAAGAAAAAAAGTTGTGGCCTAATGGTTAGAGAGTCAGACTCGCAACCCAAAGGTTGCGGGTTCGAGTCTCGTACCGGCAGGGATTGTAGGGGGGGGGAGGGAATGTACAGTGCTCTCTCCCACCTTCAATACCACGACTGAGGTGCCCTTGAGCAAGGCACCGAACCCCCAACAAATGGCTGCCCACTGCTCCGGGTGTGTGTTCACGGTGTGTGTGTTCACTGCTGTGTGTGTGTACTTTGGATGGGTTAAATGCAGAGCACTAATTCCAAGTATGGGTAACCATGCTTGGCCACATGTCACGTCACTTTAGGTTGTACTGAGTGTGAATTGGGACACAGCCTAGTTCAGAAACAGATTGGTAAAGAAATGGAACTGTATTTTTCAACCAAATGGAAGTGAAACAAACATGAGTCTTTACAATTCTCTGGGAATCAACATACAAATGGTTTACTTAGAGTAGTTTGTGCAGATGGGGGAAAAAGCATTTTAACATCCCTGAAATGACACACTTCACCTTTAAATTCCCATCTCTCCACACTCCATTCATTCATCCGCTCTCTTGTACTTGTCTCTCCCATGCATGCCATCCAAAGCTTTACTCTTGACATGCCCCTGTCGTCGCAGTGATCATCACAGATGACAGGGCTTGCTGAGGACTGGCTCCCCGGGGCTGATGGTCTAGGGCCGGTCCGACAGACTCGACACATCATCAGATGCTTTGGAGGGCCGAGTGGAAAAGACACAGAGCAAGAGAGCGCAGAAAACAGAAGAGGGATGATGGATAGCGATCCCGCCAGGACACAATGAGGCGGGGAGAAAGCCTTTTCCAGGAGCGATGGGGTGAAAGTGAGAGGAATAGAAAAATGAGGATAAAGGGAGGATGAGAAAGATCAGGGAAGGGAAGATAGATCTGAAGGGCTGTTCACACGGCTCACCTTGTCCTCAGTGCTACAGCGTGTGCACTGACACAGGAAGTGGTATTGCTGCTGTAAATGGGAACGTCTCTCTTTGCTGGTCGCGAGGATGTCGGTGTAGCTTATAGTGAGCTAAAGAGAATGAGAAAGAGAGATCAGAGATGGTTAGATGAAAAATCTCAGACAACTAGCAGAATCATCTAAGAGAGAAATACAAGAAACATAATGGCAGCTCACTAGGGTTGGGAACGTAGGCAATGTTTTTTGGAAGTTTGAAAGTCTGCCTGCTGAGCTAACATTTGAAAACCACATGGTTTCCCTTTGGTCCAATTCTGCAGGATGTAAACAAAATACAAAATGTGTTTGCTTTGCTTTATTGTGCATATGTTTGTGTTTATGTGTTCAACCATCTTCAAGGCTGTTAACACAGCTGACATACAGATAATCGAGCGGAAAAGGCTGAACTGCTGTTGAATTATTAGGAGCTAATCGTTTTAATCATTTTCATCATCTACTGTGACAGGTGACTCGGGAGAATCTGAACAATGATTGCATTTTCTGATGACTTTCTGTCTTTAGAGGTTTGGGAAAGATTTATTTATTATCCATTTTCTTTATGTACATCCAATTACAGATGTGTTTGGTGTTACATACTATCTTTTATTTTTAAAAGAAATGCATAAAGTGCCAACAGAATATTAATATCATATCAATATCAAATTTATATGTATTTAATTACATTTTTAATTTCAATGATTATTATGCAGACATATCGTTTTCTTAAATTGTGCAGCATAAAACAACAGAAACTGCACGTAATACTATATCCCATAATGCAATGTGCTTGACCATCCACTTCCCCATATGGGAAACAAAACAAAAAACGCCGCGAGTGTGTGTGTAAACAGAGTCTGTGGGACGATGAGCGCTCATGTATTCTGCCGTCGTATATATCCTACACCTATAGTGTGAATTCTCATTACTTCCTGTGTACAGAGAGCTTGCTGGTAATTTAATTCTCCAGTTCACTTCCTCTCTCGACGTTCCCTCCCCCTGTCAGAGGTAAATTAAGCATGACTTCCAGATTTACTTTAGAATATCGAAACTTTCAGAGCAGAAATAAACAGAACGGCCGCATAATGAGTTTCTCTATCTTTGAGGCTAAAAACCATATCCAGCCTCAGATCAGCCGAATGGATTCAGGTGTTAATGTAGATGAATAATGTATATGCATATCTTGGCTCTCTGCTGGTGGTGTGACGGATGTGTGCGGTCATGCAAATAGGTTTAAATGAGCTTTGATTAGTCAGGACTGATTGTTTAAGCGTTCTGCAGGACGCTCTGAATAAGAGCGGATGCTAAATGCAGTAAATGTACATCAGATGACTGAATTATGGTGAAGTTGATCTGGAAGGAGGCTCTGTTAAGTGCCTGCACTTGGGAAACTGTGGTGTGATGTGTGTAATTTAATGGCAGTTAAAATACTTTCTCCTGTTCCAGTTTAATATGAACAGACAACAGCAAGGAAGCTATTTGTGGACTGAAAGTATAAACACTGTGGCTGCATGGCACTATGAAAATATTATATGTTTATTTGAGCAGCCTGACATTGCAACTTTTGGCTCAATCAATGCATGGAGTGAGTTTGGGGTAGGAGACTGTGTTATTATGATTACTAACAAAAACTGAATGAAAACATTTTTGTTAATGAAATAGTAAATTGAAAATAAAACATTAACATTACTGGGAAAAATTTAAACTAAAATAAATTTTCATGACTCCAAAACTCAATAAATATTATTAAAATAACTAACTAAATATAATAAAAATATAAATTGACATAATAAAAAGAATGATAAAATGCTAAAACTAAATTAAAACGAACAATAATAATAATAATTATGAATATAATTATTATTATTATTATTAATGAAAACTGAGTGAAAACATTTTTGTTAATGGAAACATAAACAGAAATAAAAATAAACATTACTGAGACAAACTAAAACTAAACTAAAATGATAAAACTAAATTAAACTTTCTTGATTCTAAAACTAACTACCGGTAAGTACAAATTGAAATATATAAACTTAAAAAAATAAAATAAAATAAAATTATAAAAATAATATATATATATATAAAATAAAAAAATTAATAAAAAATAAACAATAAAAACATGATAAAGCATAAACAAAAAACAATACAATTCTAAAACTAAATGAAAACTAACAGAAGTAGAGTGAGAATTAATAAGAAATCAAGTTCAAGTTTATTTCTAAAACACACTTTTTAAAACAGCTAAAAGCTGACCAAAGTGCTGTACACTGTCAATAGCACAAATACAATAAGTAAAATATTAATAGCATAATGTCAAATACACATAACATGACTCTAACGAAATCAATTAATAAACGCCAAAGTAAAAAGATGAGTTTTTAGACAAGATTTAAACACGGGTAGAGTGGAGGCCATTCTAATATGAGATGGCAAGTTGTTCCAGAGAGTAGGACCAGCCACTTCAAACGCTCCATTTCCTCTCGTCTTTAGACGAGTGCAAGGGATCTGGAGGAGAAGTTTTTCCTCGGATCGTAATCGTCTTGTGGGGATGTAGGGATGAAGTAGGCTTGTAAGATAAGGCGGAGCTAAATTGTTCAATGATTTGTAGACAAATAGAAGAATTTTAAACAATTCAATTCTGTGCTGAACAGGCAGCCAATGCAGGGATCTCAGAACGGGTGTAACATGATACAATTTTTTACACCCCTTCAGAAATATAGCTGTTGCATTTTGTACTACCTGTAAACGAGAAATTTGAGTTTTTGAAATGCCATAGTACAGCGAGTTACAGTAATCCAGCCGTGACGTGATGAAGGCATGGATGGCAATCTCTAGGGAAACTACAGAAAGAAATGGTTTAATTTTAGAAAGGGACCGAAGGTAGAAGAAGCTGGAGCCTATGACAGAACTGATCTGTTTATCGAATGTCAAAGAATGATCAAATTTCGCACTGAAGGGGAAATAAATGAATTTAGGTGCTCAAAATCAAATTTATTTTGATGCCTGGAGTCTGAGGAGTTAAAAACTATGACCTCCGTTTTATCTGTGTTTAAGAAAAGAACATTTTTAGAAAGCCAGGATTTAACATCATCAAGACAAGCAGATAAAGTATTTACAGCACTTTCTTTTTTCCTAGTAACTGGTAAATATATTTGCATGTCATCGGCATAACAATGAAAAGAAACTCCATGCTTTCTAAACACAGAACCCAGAGGAAGTAAATATAGAGAAAAAAGAGTAGGAGCTAAAATTGAGCCCTGAGGAACACCACATGTTGAAAGACCCAGAGATGAAGTACAATTACCCATTTTAACCCTAAATCTTCTATTAGTTCAAAAGGATTTAAACCAACTTAGAACAGCACCTCTCAGGCCTACAAAAGATTCTAATCGAGAGATAAGAATCTCGTGATCAACAGTATCAGAGGCTGAAGATAGGTCCAGCATTACTAAAATTAAGGAATCTCCAGAATCTGTAGCCATTAAAATGTCATTAAGAACTTTTATAAGAGCTGTTTCAGTACTGTGCAAAGACTTGAACCCAGACTGGAATGTCTCATAAATCGGATTATTTGTTAAAACGGACTGAAGCTGTAAACACACAATTTTTTCCATCACCTTAGAAATAAATGGCAATACAGATATTGGCCGAAAATTGGATAAAACAGTAGTGTCAAGTGAAGGTTTTTTTAGGATAGGAGAGACTGTGGCCATTTTCAGACTGTCTGGTATAAATCCAGATGACAAACATTTATTCAACAATGACACAAGCTCTGGTCCCACTGTGTCAAGTATTTGTCTCAGATAGCGAGGGTGTATTATATCACATGGATTGTAGGTAGTCACAGATATCGTGCTTGTTTGAGTTTCATAGTCAGTGTCTTGAATCTGAGCCCTCAGATTAGAGACTTTTTCACCAAAAATAAATCAAATTATTTATTCATTACACTTTAATGTGTTTGGAAAATATGCTTGAAAAGTCATTGAAATTCCATTTATTGTTGAAATGGCTAAAAAATATTTAAAAAATGGCAACTGGTAATATTGTCCAGAGCCCTGTGACAGCAGAGACCCATGCTTATAATTTTATCCCAGTTCCTATGAATTTAAAGAGCCCTGGGTCAGGGCAGAATAAATATGACATACATTAAGAGAGAGGGCATCAGACAGGGTAAAACGGACTAAGACTAAGATCTAAAGTGTGTGTGAGTGTGTATGGATGGGAAGTAGATATTTTACAGACATTTTTCTAAGAGAATGTACAGTGATGTATATTGCCAAGCTCCAAAAAGAAGGAAAAGTTATATAGTCAAAATTAAAAAAATGTCATATTAACAGAAGGAAAAAAAATTACGAAAAGGTTTAAAACAAAATGACAGTCAGTAAATATTGAAATTTTCTATTTTGGGGTAAAATATTTATTTAATGATCAATAAATGCAAGTTATTTTAAAGTGCCCAACCAGTCTAAAATACTAGATTAATATATATATATATACACATATATGTATGTTTGTGTAAATCATGTTTGTAGTCTCTTCATGTCAGTAGTACGTCCTTTCGGTGAGATTTTAGAAGATCGTGAGCTGAATGCATGTATTTACATTCACACAAGCATGACAGAACAAACACAGCAATTATAAATCAAGCGCGAAAGCACAATTATCCTTTATATGCGGACAGGAATACATGCTATCCTGCTCTTCCAGGCTTCTGCTAATGCATCGGAAGTCATTCAAGAAGCCAGAGCAACAAATTACTTGTGTTTGTCATGGTCTGGGGAAGATTCAACAGTGCCTAAGCACAGCGCATAAAGCAGGCTTAGAGCCGGCCCACCCAGCCGCCAGTAAACAGACGGGCCTCGCTCTCACGGGACAATCTTTCTGCGTCATTATAATTTCTCTGAGACGGCGACAACAATGTCTGAAGCCTTGATTCTGCCTCACATCCGATCTGAAGACTTCATAGCTCATATCTAAACAACAATTTCGACACCTGCCTTTCTGGTTATGTTTGTTCTCTGTAATCCCAGAGGCTCATATTCATAGACGAGAAATGTTTCCCATGGATGGT